AGATAATACCCTTTAGCTGGGCCCCGTGGCTCACGTCTGTAATCCTAGTTACTCAGGAGGCTGAGATTTGAGGAAGGCAGTTCAAAGCCAACCTGGGCAGGAAACTGTGAGACTCTTTATCTCCAATTAACCAGAAGTGGCGCTGTGGCTCAAGTGGTAGAGCACTAGCCTTGAGCTGAAGAGCTGAGGGACAGTGCCCAGGCCCAGAGTTCAAGCCCCATAACCGACCAAAAACAAACAAAAAGATAATACCTGTATGGTTCTAGATACTTATTATAATCTGTTAGAGTATAATTTAATTATATATCATAGATTCTATCATATGTATATTTTGTGTGATTCATAGAAAAGGGGTTTTATCTAATTACAAAATATCTTAAAGTTTGTCATTCACAACTTGTACATTCTGAATTCATTCAAGTATCTACTGTGGCAATCCATGTTCTCAGTTTGCCCTTTAAATGAAAGAATGGTGAAACATCCCAAACACCACTGTGAATACTTCTCCATGCAGAAAAATTGCTTCAGCTTGGACCAGATGCCACATTTTGGCAGAGATGACATGTTTAGTGATTTATGTTGCTATATTGTTTTCTTGGCAAACTGGTTTAATACTAGGAGGGCTTGGTTTCAAACGATTTTAATTGTAAGCAGGTGAAAGAAGGTCACATGGTATTATCAGACTTAATTTTTTATTATTTTCGTTTTTATTATTTTAGTGCCGGAGATTTAACACAGGATATCATACATGCTAAGCACACCTTCTAACCACTAAGCTGTATCCTCAGCTGGTAGTAATTGATTGTAGCTTTTATTCGTCATTTCATTAACAATTATTAAGCCGTATCATCTGTGCATGTCATTAACTAATCATATTGCTCTCTTCTAGCATTGTTAGTTTGTGTTCTCTGCTTATTTTTTTATTTTTTATTAAAAGTGAAAATATTTTCTGTATTCTCCACTGACATCTGTTATATGCATTACAGTTATCTTTTTCTCTTCTAGGGACTATATTTTTTCTATGGTAATTTTTAATGTGTAGAAGTTCTTGGTAACCAGATCCTAGTGGCTCCTGCCTTTAATCCTAGTTACTCAGGGAGCTGACAGTTGAAGATTGGGATTTAAGGCAGCCTTGGCAGAACAGTTTCCAAAACTCTATCCCCAGTTAACCAGCAAAAAGCCAAGTTGGTGGTATTGCTCAAGTATTAGAGTGCTAGCAGGGCAAAGCAAGCCAAACCCAAGGACCTGTGTTCAAAACCCAGTACCACCGATAAAGAAAAACCAGTAAGAACACTTTCAATTACAATTCTCAGTTTATAATGTGTCCTTTTAACTGTTTTATTGTGGTATAATTAAAATAATCACATGCTTACAAAATGTTTGATGAATTTTTCCACAATAGTCACACAGTTTACATAACGAAGATGTTTATTATTCCAGAGTTTTTCTTATTACTGTTTGTAGTCCTTCTTTCCCTTTTTTCACTCACCTCTACACTTCAGGTAACCAGTCATCTGCTGCTTTGTGTCTTTCTTTTCTTGTTGTTCTTCTTGTTGTTGGGGCTGGAACTGTGGGCCTGGGTGCTGTCCCTCAGCTCTTCAGCTCAAGCTGAGTGCTCTACCACTTGAACCACAGCACCACTTCCGGGTTTCTGAGTGGTTTATTGGAGATAAGAGTCTCACAGACTTTCCTGCAGAGGCTGGCATTGAACTGCAATCCTCAGATCTCAGCCTCCTGAGTAGCTAGGATTACAGGCATGAGCCACCACCCCCGGTGCTTTCTGTCTTTCATTTGCTGATTTTCAGTCTACTTTCTTTTATCACTTATTGAGAAAAGAGTGTTTTTTACCTTAATTGAAGATTTGCCTAATTCTCCTTTTAGTTCTATGTGACTTGCTTTATATGTTTTGAAACTTCCTTAACAGTTGCACATAGTTCAAGATTACTGTCATTTGTTGCATCTTTGATGGATTGACCTTTTGTATTTACATAATTAACCCTATTAATCCCTGCTGACATTCTTGTGTTCTGAAGTCTTTATAGTCTCATATTTGTGTAGCCACTTCTTTTTTTTGAGACAGGTTCTCATTATGTAGCCCAGGCTGGTCACACATTCAGTATTCTATTGCCACAGCTTGCCAAGTACTAGGAATATAGCTATGTATAACCATGTCTGGCTTTTCTCTGTCTTGAATAGCTTTTTCATGACATAATCTATTTCTGTTCTGTTACTTTTAAACTATTTATAAAATTATATTTAAAACATGCTTTTATGGACAACATGTAGTCAGATATTTTTTATCTAAGTGGTAGTATCTACTTTTTAGTTAATGAATTTAGATTATTTATTTATATTTAATATAATTATTTTTATATTTTTATTTAGATTACCATTTTCTTCTTTTCCCCCTTTTTAATGTTTTTCCCACCTCTTCCTGCTTTCTTTTTGCAATATTGAATATCTTAAGTTTCTTTCATTTATTTGTTTACTTTTTTATTTCTTTTTACAGCTTGAACTCTGATCCTGGGCTCTGTCCCTGAGCTTGTTTTATACAAGGCTAGCACTTCACTACCTGAGCCACAACACTACTTCTGGCTTTTTCAGAGTAGTATACTAGAGATAAGGGTCTCACAGACTTTCCTGCCCAGGCTGGCTTCGAACTGAGATCCTCAGATCTCAGCTTCCTGAGTAGCTAGGATTACAGGCGTGAGTCATCGTGCCTGGCATGTATTTCATTTTAATTGGATATTTTTGGGCATCTGATTGTAGTCTAATGCTTATTCCATCATAAAGACCTAAGACATTTTATTTTCTGGAAAGCGTGAGTAGTTTTGTCTTCGTTCTAAAATTTCACAAACTTTCTTTTCTCTGGATGTAATAGGTCTGTCTGCATTCATCTTGTTTGAAACACTTGGCAAGACCTTTCACTTTGTCTCTCTTCAGTTCTGAAGTAAAAAGGTTTGCTACTTTTTAAAAATGTGTCTTTCCTATTTGTGAATGGGAAAAGATCCTGTAATCTATTAAACTTCTTGGATTAATCACTGCCTTTCTATAATTTTCTCCTACATTTTTCCTTTCCACTCTACTGTCTTGTTTACAGCAAGTAGTATGGGAAGCTGTCTTATCCTCTTCTTTTGACTGTATATTGAAGAAGCCAGATAGTTCTAAGTGTCTATGGCTTTCCTGTTCTCTGTTCTTTTTATCATAGAAACTTGTTGTATTTTTTTTGATTCATGCCTTATTGAATGTTATGAGGCTTCAAATCAGAATTCTTTTCTTTTTAAAAATTTTCTTCTTTTTTTCAGCTTACCTATTTTCTTCTGTAGTCATTAGTTTTGTTTGTTGAAGTCAAGCCTTTGGAAGATGTTGTATACTTAAGATCAGGACAATGTATAATCAAATATGCAAGGACAAATACAAAAAAATCTCATCTGGGAGCAATGCTAATCTGATTATAATACTGTGGGTACTGTATTCATGCTTGAGCTAGCACAGATGTGGTGATAATAGAAAAAAAAAGAAAGCATGAGGAGATAAAAACAGAATTGAGAACTCATTTCTGCTTTCTCTACCCTCCAAATACTTCTTACTGAACTAATTGTATATTTCTTTGTAATAGCAATTATTACACCTATGTCTTTATAACAAAATGATATTATTAGGGGAGGAAGACAATTGAGGATAGAACTCAGGGTCTTGTACTTGATAGACAAGCACTGTTACTTAGCTACCTCCCAGCCTTCTTAACAAATTGTGATTCTTCAAGATGGAGATTTTCTGTTTATTGTTTTGTGAACATTTATTGTTCAAGCACTGTTCTAAGTGCTAGAGTTAAAGCAATATATAAAGAGAAAAAGTCCCTGTCCTCAAGGGCACTTAATCAGCAAATATATTTATGTCATTCACAGTACTCAGAATTCAGAGTTAGATATTCCCAAATAAATATTTATTACTTAACCCAACTTTTAAAGGCACTGGTAGTTCATACCTGTAACCCTAGCTACTATGAAGTTGAGATCTGAGGACCGTGGTTCAAAGCCAGCCAAAGCAGGAAAATCCATGAGACTCTTATTTCCAATTAACCAGCAAAAGGCCAGAAGTGGAGATATGGCTCAAGTAGCAGAGCATCAACCTTTGAACGAGAAAGCCAAGTGAAAGCAAGAGTCCCTGAATTCAAACTCTAGTACCAACATTAAAAAAAAAAAAAAACTCGGAGCCGGGTGCTGGTGGCTCACGCCTGTAATCCTAGCTACTCAGGAGGCTGAGATCTGAGGATCGAGGTTCAAAGCCAGCCCCGGCAGGAAAGACCATGAGACTCCTATCTCCAATAAACCACCAGAAAACCGGAAGTGGCGCTGTAGCTCAAGTGGTAGAGCACTCAGCTTGAGCTGAAGAGCTGAGGGACAGCGCCCAAGCCCAGAGTTCAAGCCCCACGACCGACAGAAAAAAAACAAAAACTCGGGCTGGGAAGGTGGCTCAGTGGTAGAGCGCTTGCCTTGCATGCATGAGGCCCTGGGTTCAATTCCTCAGCAGCACATAAGCAAAAAGAAAAAAGCCGGAAGTGGTGCTGTGGTTCAAGTGGTAGAGCATTAGCTTTGAGCTGAAGAGCTGAGAGACAGCGCCCAGGCCCAGGGTTCAGGCCCCACAACCAGAAAAAAAATCTTTTAAGTAGTATTAAAATGGTCTGTGTGTCTATTTAGATGTGCTATTGTAAAGGTTCTTTTGGTATTTTTCTTTCTTTTAACCTGGTACAAAAAAAATTATCATGCATTCAGATTAAAATACTATCCCTGACCTTAATTAGAGGTGATGTCATGGTTGTTAGCACTTACACTTGGAGTCTGAAAGTAGGGCAAAATGTTTATTCCTGTGTCCTTTGCACAGATAGTAGCTACATTAGCTAGTACATTTAATTAAATGATTAGAAACAATGCTGGAAGCTATCATTTTATATGTTTAATTGAATTTATAATGAGTGGCTATTTTTTTTTCTTTTTCAGACTTGGGGTTGGATCAATACATAGTAAAACGCTTTGATGGGAAGGTGAGCAGACTATGACAAATACATATCCTGTTGTTTTACTAAGATTTTCAAGTTCCTCTAGATTTATATGTGAGAGATATCAGGATATCTGGTTAGCCTATTAAAAAATAAACATATACCAGGCACCAGTGGCTCACGCCTATAATCTTAGCTACTTAGGAGGCTGAGATCTGAGGATTGCGGTTTGAAGCCAGCCCAGACAGGAAAGTTCGTGCTACTCTTATCTCCAATTAACAACCAGAAAACCAGAAGTGTTTCTGTGGCTGGAGTGGTAGAGTGCTTGCCTTGAGCTGAAGAGCTCAGGGGCAGCACCCAGGCCCAGAGTTCAACTCCTTCGACCAACAAAATAAATAAATAAACATGTTTAGGGTAGAAGATCTGTCCCTTCTTCAAATCCTCCCATAGAAAGACTTTAGCAGAAGTCCCTTTATATATTTTACTATGTGGTAACTTTCATAGATTGTCAGCCCTATATGTGAAGGCTTAATTCAGTGCTTGTTCACTTTTGAATGTTAATTCAATAGTCACCATAATGGTTAATAGGTATCCCCACATACTCACTATTATGTTTGAATTTCTTATACAGCACACATTTATGCTATTATTGGTCTTTTATATCAATATGCATATATATTGTATTTATGGAAACTTTAACTGTGCTTTCAACTTTGTAAATTAAAGTATCACAGTTTGTCATGTTGAGAGTTAGAAGCCATATTGATCTAGAAACATTACAGTTTTGCCATTTGCACATGGATAACTGTATTAAATATATAAGATCATATTTACATGGATTTTATTATAAACACTAATAAAGTATTCTATAAAATAATAAAATGGTAAAATATCTAATTTTAACCTTCCTCAAATTTTTGAATGTATATATAGCAATAATCTTTTATTACTAATAATCTTAATCTTAATAGCTTTATCTTAATCTATAATATGATGGTGATCCTTATAAGTACTTTTATAATAATCCTGAATAATAGTCCAAATTTTTAATTCCAATAATTTTGAAGACTATTTTAAGCTTTCACTTCTCTGTTTTGTACCTGAGTAAATAATATTAGTCATTCTTAGGTATAGAAAGTGAAACTTTCAATTATCTCATAAAACTATCAGTTAAATGATTTTCCATTTCAGGGTAAATCCTCCCCCAAAAAAAATCTTTACAGGGGGTTGGAAAGGAAAGGAAAAAGGGAAGGAGGCAAGGAGAAAAGAAGGAAAGGGTCAATTTTTAAAAGTTGGAAGAAAGCACATCAGAAAGAAGGAGCCAGGAGTGGCTCTGCAAGGTATAAGGAGAAAGCAATCAGAAGTAAAGTCATGGAGTGGGTGGGAAAGGCAGGAACTTGGGATAGTTAGGATGGCTAGAGTCAAGGCTAGAAGGAACTGACTTGCAGTAATGTGCCTATTATCACAGCTGCACAAAATTGTATTCCCTGGTAACAGGAAGCAGTAAGTGTTAATTTTGCACAATGAAAAGAATGAATGACTGCCTTCAGATTTGAGCAATCTCAGCCAAGGCTACCTACCTTAAAAGTACCTTATCCATAAGGTGGCACAGTGCCTAAACTACTTCTATCTATGGATATGCTATTTTTGGCATCACATATGCTAAAATAAAGGGCATTAAACTATGAGTTAAGATAGATCAGGGTTCAGAGACCTAGCTCTGTTGTGGGCCAGCCATGCCTTGGTTTGTGCTTATATACATGGGAGAGGTTACTTTGGGCCCTGATGTCAGGGTCAAATTTCAGAGTCTCTGGCAGCTCAGGGCCCTGGTTTACCTGTCTTTGTGTCCCTCAGAGTCCCACAGACATAGCTTAACACATAGGAGATAGCCAATAAATATTTGATAACTTTTAATTTAAAAAGTGTGCCTGTCTATATGTATTCCTTGGTGACCTGATCCAAGTCAATAAGATAGCAGTCAATTTAACAAATAACTTTTTTAGTCACTGCAGGAATACAGAGCAGCAGGAGAATTTAGACATCTTTTGTATATCTAAAAACATGCAAAGAAGTTGAAAACATGCAAGATGAGCAGCAGATTTACAAGTTGTGAGAGGAATTTCCATCCTGAAGCTTCCCCAGATATGAACTCCCTGTGATAACTCATGTGTTGAATACTTTATTTGCTTTCCTGATGATGTGACTCAGTAACTACTTCCATTTAATGCTAAAAATTTGGAAAGCTTCATCTTTTTTTCTCATTTGTAGTAAGTTGATGAGCTCTATGTTTCTTATCATTAACATTTTTATTTTATATTGCCAGTTATTTTTATGAGTTAGCAAACCAAAATGCAATAAAACATCCAAGTATTTAAGTACCACCTAGCTGTACAAAAATGGCAGTCTTCCTGTATTTGGAAAGTAGGCATTGCATTTTTTTTTCACAGAAGCTTAAAATTTGGAAATTAGAATAAGGAAGAAAAAGTTTGGAAATTAGAGTAAGGAAGGCAAGATTTAGAAATTTCATTGTGTAATATTTGCAAATATGACTGGTATAAAAGTCAAGTGAATGAAAGTTGTCTTTGTGGTTCCAGAAAAACAGATTGTGGAAAAGAGGAATGGTAGTCTCACATTAGGAAGTATAGAATTGAACCAGTGACCTAAAGCCAGCCAGCTCAGCCCTGAGCATTGGAGAAGCAGTCAGTGCCCCATTCATCTATCTTATGATGTGCATCTTGAATCTTTTGGCCAGGATCTTCATTAAGATTCTATATTGATTTCCACTATATACATTGTTGAGGTATTGTTTTAGAGTTAACCATCCTTAATAAGATTTTTATACCATACTTACCTCTGATTTATATCTTTATAAACTTTTTTCTGATAGGAAATTTAAGAAAATACATTCTTTCTATCTGCCTTTAAAATGTTGTGTAATCAAGAGTGTAGGGCTGGGAAGGTGGCTCAGTGGTAGAGTGCTTGCCTTGCATGCCTGAGGCCCTGGGTTTCTGATTCCTCAGCACCATATAAGTAGAAAAAGCCAGAAGTGGTGCTGTGGCTCAAGTAGTAGACCACTAGCCTTGACAGGGACAGTGCCCAGAGTTCAGGCCGACAACCGGAAAAAAAAAAAGAGTACAAACTCTAGTGTTTGATTGTTTCGAAGTTTTTCCAGGATTTCCTTCTGTCTCTTCCTTACTTCCTGTATGCCCAGTTCCAATTTTTTCTGGTTTGATAGAGAACATCTAGAAACCCATAATAAGTGGCAAACCACATTAACGTTTATTTTAAAGAAAGAAAATGTGAAGTATACAGATATACTAATAACTGAATTTAGAAATCAGAATGTTAAATTCCCTGTTTGTTTCATCATATACCATGAGTATCAGTTGGCATTTTGAAAAATGCTACATATTTCTTTTTTATCGAAGCCATCACTTTTAAATAAAAAGAGAGCACTGTCATTTGTATTTGAAAAACTGGATCTCTGTTGATTATAATCAGACTAGAATATTCTTTCTCTTATAAAGAAAATGATGTATTTTCTCTTTCAAATAGATTATCTGCAAATGTAACATTTGAATGGAGTTGCTCCTTATAATCAATTTTTAGCTGAACAAAGGCTTAGAATAAAATTACCATAGTGAACTCAAATGCTGGTTCAGTGTTACAGGAAAACCTTTGTGCTGAGTGTGTGGCTCTGGTAGGACAAGTGCTTAGCATGGGGGAGGCCCTGGGTTCAATCCCCAGTACCCTTCCCCAAAATGTCAACTTTTTGACCCTTGTTATAATAATTTTCCATTTTTTTCTTAGTCACAGATTTTCCCATCTGGTTTTCAACTCTTTAGTTCTTTAAGTTGCTTTTCTTAATTTTCTTACTATTAACAAATTAGCAACTTCAGTTCTTTATCCACACACTATTCCTTTTTTAAAAAAAAAATCTAGTTTTGGTGTCTGGAATGTTTTCCAAAGCATTCTGAGCATCTCAATATTTGACAGCTGTATATAAGTAATTAGTAAATGTTATAAATGCTGAATTGTCTATAGGAATACAACTTTGTGTGTATGTAGCATATAAGAGCAAGATTAGAAGAGTGTGGACTTTGGAGGTAATCATGTTTTCATTCAAATATGGGTTGTGCTACATGTCTGCTGGTAACCTTGGGCAAGAGAACAGTTAACCTCAAGTGTCAATTAACTTTTCACTATAATTGAGATAGTAGGTAAAGCATCTGGCTCTACTAACTGTAGCTATTTTGCATGACCAGGAGCCATTATTCAGTTTATGAAAGGTATTATATGCCATTCCATGTATTATCTTTCTTGGTTCATATGCTGCAGAACAACATACCCTGCACATAATCATTGTCTTTCATGGTCTTTCCTTCCCAGTTTAATCAGCTTCTTCTGATTGAAAAATCTCCTTTTGCTCTTTCTGGGTTAAATAGCTAGTTCATTAATCAAAAAGAGACCTCTGGTTGGATTTCTCCTATCTGAACTGACCTGCGTTCACAGCAATTCATCTCACCTGTGTACGAGAATATCCTTTCAGCCTCTGACACATCAATCTCAACTGTAGACTTTTAGCTTGCTTATAGCATCTATATTTCAGTCAAGACTTTTGTAATAGTGCTACACTTGCTTTGAAAGTTATGGTAAGATTAGGTCATTATTTTTCACAGCCACCAAAGTTTATTTATTGAAAAAAATCTTTAAAACTATTTGATATTTGGTAAGATATTTTGGACTGGTACCCTGCTAAATTAGCTGACCTAAACTGCTTCCTCAAATGCCAGCCTATATGATGACTGGTTTTCATAGCCCGTGTTGACAGTACTTAATTCTGGAGGATATCTGTTTTCAAGTAATCACTCTTAACCCTTCGAGTAGCTATTAATCCTCTGAACTCATCCAAATTTGGTTGTTTATAAATTAATGTGAGTAGCAAAGCAACCAATTTGCTACAAAGCTGGAAAATATTATGCCATAAAATCATGAGGTATTTTGATAGGAAATCTTAAAGAAATGCTTTGACTACCCATTAAAAA